TACAAAATCTATTAAAATACTTAGGCACAAAGATAAAGGCATATTCCTTGTTCCATATGCTAGGACAAAATTGTACAAATGCTCCTTATTCCCTAGTGCTATTAGAGTATGGAATGGTTGCCTGAGTCAGTCAGGAAAACCAATGACTTAGCAGAATTTAAATCATTGGTAAGCATGCTTGACTATATTGACCTAGGGACATGAGTAGGATGTAATCATCTTTTTTTTAAATTAATGTCTGTATTTCATAAGATGATACATTTATATTTGTATTTAATTATATTCAATATAATCCAGTTTTCTATGTACCGGTGATAATTATAATAAAAATATTTATTGTCCAAAAGGTAATTTGGTCTTAAAATATTGAAAAAAAAACATTATAAGTATATCAAGGGTTGTCTGTGCTTTGATTTAATTTTAACTCTCCAATTAGTAACTAAATACTTCTTTTTGATTTTAAAGGTTATAAAGCCTACAGAGATGTCACCAGAGGGAGCCCTTTTATAGAGGACTTCACAGATCTTATTATGAATAAATCCAGTGCAACTGATGAATTTTTACACATTGTTCAAAAGGTAAAAGAACATTTTATTATCATGATTTATTGTTATACTTATGTAACTTAATTGAATGTTTAAGATATGATCTTGACTAGTCCAAATATAGAGAGAAATACGACTGACTAGCTGTAGTCAGACTGTGAATCAGAAAAAAAACGGTTCCTAGCAAGCGCTATATAAGGAACGAAATTTCATGCGAATATTTGCAACAGTTAATCTTATTTAGTGAGTGTTAACTTAGAAATATTCGGATGGCTGCCTGGTTGTGCGGTTTGCGGGCTGGACTGTCATTCAGATTTATTGATGGTCCTGGGTTCAAACCCTGCCCTCTCCCATCCCCCGTCGTCCTGCGGGAGGTTTGGACTAGGAAGTAATTATCTTCAACGCTGAAGGAACATCCGAAACATGTAAAACATTTTACAAACAACAAACAAACAAACATATATAGTAGCTTCCTTTTTGCTTCAGTGACCACTGGTCTGTAATGACAAGCTTTGGTTGCTATCATATTTGGAGTCTTAGTTTAGAATTGGGTTTAGTTAGGTTTGGTAGATACAAAGTCTTTTTTTTCTTTTCACTTGGTTTTGTCTAAATTTAAAGCTGATTCTCGAGACATAAAATGCCACAGAGAGAGAGAGATAATTATTTATAGGTTGTTTTTTTGTTTAGTCTTCACTCTCTAAATTCTATTTTGCATTTACCTTTTTAATCATTGCATACCTCACATTTTAGGTTGCCCATTATGGCAGTCATTGTATATTCAGAGTCAAAAGAAGTTATTAAAAAAAAACACATACATGTAAAAATCGTTATTGTTGGAATATTGTTACACCTCAATAAAAATCAAAATAAGCTCACCACAGTTGATGAAAAATTTACAGTAATTTTTTTTTTTACTCAATCTGCTAGACTTCTTGAGTTATTAGTTAGTGATGAGTTTGTTTTGGTTTCTTTTAAAGTCTCTTACTTGTGTGTTGGTTTGGTTGACAGTAGGCTTTGAGTTTGAATAGTTTGGTGTTTTGTTTTATTCCTATATTTTATACAAAAAAAAAAGCTATAACAAGACTTGAATTTTTATTTTTAACAAGAATGTTACACTATAAATAGATTATTATTTTTTTAAAAAATTGTAACAGTAGCCACAACTTGAACTTATATAATAATTATCATTATCATCATCTTTCCTTTGTGTTCCTTGTGGAACATAGGGCCTCAGTAAAACCATGCCACTCTCCATGGTCTCTTGCTAGTTTTTTAATGGCTTCCCAGCTGTTTCCTGTCCTCTAGGCTTCCTCTTGTACACTGCGTTGCCACATTCTTTTTGTTCTCCCTCTACATCTTGTGCCCTGGGGGTGCCTTTTCTGATGGTGTGACCAATCCATCTCCACTTCCTAAGATCTGAACCTCTTTATTTTTCTGTTCACTCATCTCCCACAGTTTGGTGTTTTTTTATTTTTGTTGTATAATAATAAAATAATTATACTTCTAGACAAAGATTACTTAAAATAGCTAATGAAATCAGTTAATTTTTTATTTACTTCATTCTTAACAAAAAATTTTTTACAATGCAATAACCTTAAAAGAGAAAATAAACATTTCTCTTTTTTTTTCCATATCAAGCATTAAATGTATAAAATTTCTAATATCTTTTCAGTTGCAAAGGGCATTTAGTCAAAAACCTTTGAGTAACTCAAAGATGACATTGCCAGATTTCTCTACACAGTTGGTCAAAAGTTGGTATATCATTCCTGCATAGTCTTAAAAGTCTAATGGATTGGTGTAAAATGCATAAATAATTATAACATTTATTGTTTCATTTTTGAAAGATATTTCACTAAATTGAAATGTATCCCTGTGACATTCAAACTGTTGTAGTACTGGTACACTAATATATCTTTTCTTATTCTTTTATTGAAATTCTGGAAACAATTGTTGTTGTTTTTTTTGTTTTGTTTTTTTGTGTGTAAATAATGTAAAACTATTCTTCTCCAGAGATCATGTTCATTTTTTTGTTTTCATCTAACCAAGTTTGCTGAGCTGAATGCTCTTTTGCAGTCTGTACCTTGGTTTTGTTTCATTGTAATGTTTTGCTAAGCTTATTTATTATTTAGCTCTCAGTATTTTCACTGGCATCTTAGGGATCACTGAATTGATGGGTGTCCTTCAGATAAGAAAAAAACTAGCCAGTAGCATGAATGAAGTAAAATTGTAATTTATTAGTATCAGTGAAACAAATGATGAAATAAATATAACATAATAGCAGTTGCATAATATTGTGTACGGTACCAAAATAAATTCTGGAATAATATTTTTCATATTAAAAAAGGAATATTTCAAATCAGTAAGGTTGTGAAGATCATTCACCATGATAGGATGATGACGTTTGTCATCCAGGGGGCTGAGGGCTTTGCACTGTGGTGTTGTGTTTTCTCATGTGACTCTTAGAGTTAACTGATCTTACTTTCACCATGCAGTGGTCATGTTAGGGTTGCCAGATGTCCCACTAATGTAGGACATGTCCTCCTTTTTTGGGATTTTATCCTCCATCTGGAAGGCAAAGCCCTCAAGTGCTTTTGAGAATCTCCTTCATTAAAAGGCTGTTCGTTTATTGAAGACTGATGGTAAGAAACATAGGCTGTTACTTAGACTTCCTGAATATATGTAATTTTTAAAAAGTTTCCAAATATTCTGCACTGCAATGACTTGGGACTGTTGTAAGACTGATATCCACTGTGAGCCACGACACTGTCATCCCCTTCTGTATTAATATTCATTTCTGAAACTTACAAGTACAATAAAAATAATCAAAGTTAAAAGAACATCTTTTGCTGATTATCACAGTTAAAAGAGAAAAATAGGCTCTCTGTTCAACTAATGAGAGGCACTGTGCTTACAAAATGCAAGATGAAGAAAAAACGTAGATGGAGCGTGTTTGTTTGCGCAAGTCATGAACTAGACATGTATATGTCAAAAGCCATATTGAGAAATTATGATTGAATAGTTATGTAGCCCTAATTTATTGACATGTTTCATTATACACATTGTAGCCTAGCTTTGAAAGTTTACTTGGTGATTTTTATTTTTCAAATTGAATTATATTATTGATCCAAACTAATTGATATGCTTAATATAAGCTTTGTTTTTTTTTTAAAGTATTTAAAAAAATATTTTCTTGTTAATGTTTGAAACCATCCATTATTAATAGCTAGAGTATTCTTGACAGCTCTGCCTAGAAACAACACAGGACCAATGGAACAGACTCTTTTTAAAAGAATCTCTCTTATCAGTAGTATTACCGGTCAAGTGGTCTTTGGTACTGTATTGCACTATGCAAAATAGTCAAGTTGATGGTTTAGCTCTGGTCAGGACTGTCAATTATTTTTAATTTGTTTAATTCACTGTTTTCTTTCATCAAAAAGTATTGATGCCAATACATGTATAACTTGAATGCATCAATTATTGTTTCATGACTAAGCTTCACATTTGTATTTACTCCCTATAACTGAGAGACTTTCCTTCAGAGAGATTAATATGTCCTGCATGTATGTATGTGTGAAAACTCTTCAAAGTCATTGGTTTTATTGGCTAATTAGTGTTACCCGTTCCATTCTCCAGTGGCACTTTATAAGAAGAAGCACTTAAACAATTTTGTTATAGATATATGGAATAAGAAATGTGCCTTTATCCTTTCTTCTTTCTGAGCATTTTATTGGATTATGTTTTTGTATTTGTTAGTATAAGGATTATGTCTCTTAGTTAGGGATTTTACTAATGGTGTTACGCCAGTCATATGTCAATATTTATTTAATTTAAACATGTTGGCTGTATTTTATGTCTTGTTCTAGTTTTTTCATGTTTGCTCAAGTTGAGGGATATGAAAAAGAGTGTATGTCTTTTCTAATCGTGGTCCATGCCATGGTCATATATATATATATATAAGTAAAGTTCCCCTTTCAGACATCTTGATCTATACGGCAGATGATGTTAAGGTCATCTGTTTCTGTTAATGAGGGTTTCATGTGGCCAGCACAAAGCCCAATCGCCTTTACTTTACCCCAACTAATGTCAGGTACCCATTAGAGCTGGGTGAACTCAGAGGCGCATTTAATGATCCGGAAATTATGTCCCAGTCTTCACCAGGATTTGAACCTGAGACCCCCAAGTGCTTTACCCCTCATCCACCATGCCTCCATATGTGTAGAGAAGCCTTCTTCTATTAAAAACAGCTACTTATCTTTGATTTGTGTTATTTATAATAAGGCTTGTCTTCGAGTCTGAAGATTAATGAGGAATGCAGTATTTCCCATGGCTATGCAGCCCCAGCCGTGATGTACATATTTTGCCACATCCAGGGCAAGCATAGCCATTGTCCCCCAAGGTCGATTAAGATTTTCTTTTCACTTTCTGCGTCTGTCCATGGCAGCGGATTTTCTTTTGATCTCAGATGTGTATCCCATGGCCTTTGTGAGTGACCTCCTTATGTATCTAAAAAAAATGATTGAATGGTATGTTCCTTGAAAAAGTAAACATTTGTTTCATTTCATTTTATAAACATTTTTTTAAATAATTGTAAATATTACTTTTGTGATATTGATAATATTGACTTGGCTTCGTTTTAACATGAATTCAACTATTTAACTTTTATGATGAAATAAACGGCATTATGTATATATCAATACTCTTGGATGTTTTTTTTATCCTATATCCAATGTTCACACTTCGTATATGCATATATATGGCTATCGTACTTCTTTTTCAATAAAAAGTGGATGCAATCTGATGAATTACACTTAGTGGTTTTCCATCAGCATAGGAGTTTCTTCTTCATGGCGCATTCCTGGGTCCTAGATAAAAGGAATAAAGTGGCACATATGCTCCTCTCTCGACCTAGCTGGTGTGATTCAAAGGAATGCTATGCATACGTCCTGATTTTACCTCACACTGCAGGCTGGGTTTGAAGTCAGAATACAATAAATTGCCTATTTTAACTCTGCTCCATCTACCCAAATATCCCTGTTTTTTGGGTTATCAGGTACCCACCTGAGCGTGTTATTAAAAGCAGTTTTATGGGGCTTAGTGTCTTACCATGGGGGTATCTGGAGGTGCGATGGCTGAGTGGTAAAGCCCTTGGCTTTTGAACCACGGGACTGGATTTGAATCCTGGGATTTTTAATTTCTGGATCTTTTGGCGCCTCTGAGTCCACCCAGCTCTAATGGGTACCTAACATTAGTTGGTGAAAAATGCCCAATTAGTCAATTAATTATTGGTAATTAACTATTTTGTTTGATATCGAATAAGGGAAATAGCTTGTACATTATTGGTAAATATAGTTTAAAGGGTGGAGTTCTTCCCCTTAAGATAACCTTTTTTTTTAAGGATTCTTTTTTTTTTTATAGTTTGCTTGATACTCCTATGTTCTCTGAAATAGTTTTAAGCGAAGATGACCTACACAATTTTTTTTTAATTTCCGTCGCTGTCGTATGCCTACTGATTAGATCTATTATAGATTTCTATATTATAGAGACTAACAGCTAGCCTAGCTGGGTCTTCATACAACAGGAACCAATAGTGAATAGAACTACCCTTAAATCTAGATCTATATCATCTGTTTTATTTTATAGATTATAAAATATTATAAATCTAGAATAGATCTATCTCTAGTGATTTAATGGATAGATGTAGAATCTGTAGAGAGACTATATTGCTACTGCCTGTATTGGTCTTATGTAGGTCTATATTATGATTTCCACAAGGTAGTCTAATTCTATTTATAAAAATAGGATAAGGCTGTTTTGTGTTGGTTTTGGTTAGTTATTATATTTATGATAGAAGTTATACGTGTACTTTAGACAATGTACACTTAGATCTAGAGAAGAGACAGACAGATCTAGATATATTGTATAAACAACTATTACAGTTACACTTTTATTGACTCTTATTCCTTATATTTGTAGGCCTACTTTGTAGTCATATACATCTATATTCTATATTATTATAAGTGATTTGTTATATTATTTCGTCTTTAGATAAAAGTTTAGTCACTAGATTTTATAGTTAAGTAATGTTTTACTTTGCTGACATTGATTAGAATGCAGAACATGTTTAGCTGTATCAGTGTATGTGATTGTTTTAGATCTAGGTGCAGCAAAAAAAATTCTCTATGATGTTCTGAGATAGCTTTATAGATGCTCCTAAAATCGTAGATAGCTCACAGCTAGTTCCTAGATATATAGCTCTCAACATATCAGTTTTCCTAGGTAGATAGCTATGATGTTCCTAGATACCTCTCTACGACTACAGTAGCTCTTTATGATGTTCCTAGATGACTTTCTGAGTTATTTTAGCTAGCATTTTATAGACTATATTATAGCTTAGTAAGTTCCTAGACTAGAATATTCTAAACAAAGTAAATATCGAAAAGCAGCACCTGATATGATTTTGTTAAAAAAGCTTTTGATTTGGTGTGCACAGATGAGCACCTTCAATAAAAAAAATTCTACTGATTTATAGATCTAGCTATGTTGTCAAAAATGTTTTAATAATACAATAATAACATATATATATATATATATATATATATAACAATATTTCTTAAAGTTGTGTTGTCAAAATTGTTTTAATTGTAGTATATATAATGTAATGTTAGCATGCAAATACTTGTAAAACTTTTTTTTTCCTCTACATAGTCTTAACATGGCTGCAAACTTTATGAAAGAGTATCATCTTATTGTAGATGTAATGAATGCATGCACTCATGATATATCTAAGGAAGTAAAGTGTGCATATTTATATCCACGTATAGTGGACATCTTTCCACCAATGACTCTAGATAGAGAGGAGGTAAATCTTTCAGGCAAAACTTGCTTATATATAGAGTCTATATTATTTTATTTTTTTTTGCTGGACTGGTTACCCCTGGTATGGGAAATTAGTTGAGGATGAGTGAATAGGAAAAGCCCACAGCCCTAATAACAGCCTATTTTTTTTTTACAAACCTTATACTAGCTCACTCCATTTGTCATTAATTTGGGGAGGCTGATGTTGGAATATTTTGAGCATACTTATAAATTACTTAAATAGGCTGGTTTGGGGAATTTTTTTAGCATACATATACATTATTTTTAGTGATGGGCAAAAGTTAACTAAAAAGTTAGAAACTTTTAGTTTAACTAAAAAAAATTAGTTAAGGACATTGTTTAATTGGGAAAAAAAAGTTTAGTTAAAATCGTTGTTTAATTAATATTTTTTAGTTACTAACTAAAAAGTTTAATTAAAATTTGTAAAACTTTTCAACATGTGGTCAGGGTTAAAACGCACTCCCTGTTTTCTGGTCATGTGATATCAATAACTTTGATTATCAAAAGAATGATGCAGTTAACAACTATTTAGACAGTCTGCATTTGAAGAGCAAGAGGGTAAAGTAAGATCCTAGTAGAAGTTATGGGAGTAGATATTTGCACTTGAAAGCAGTATTATAAAATGTTAAACATTTTTTGCCAAAAGCTTCTATGCAGTAGGCTATTATGAATGAGGTTGTTCCGAATTTTTTTGTGAGCCATGTGGAGGTGTTTAATTTCTGTTTCTAGTGGGAATCTGATTAGTGAGTTAGGTCAATATTTAATGGTTTTAATCAATTCATTTGCGGCAAACAATATTTTTTTAACTGCAGAAACATCAAGTACAACCTTTTATAGTCTTGAGACTTATTATTGAGATATATTAAGTCTAAATTAACATCTAGGCCTATATAGATCTAAAAGCATTAGGGTAACCAATTCTAGAAAAAAAAATCTTAATCCACACCCTCTCTAACCATAAAGTAAATAAAATGTGTCCAACTGATTTTAACAATCTGTTCAGCTAGACATACACATGACCACATGTAGGCCTAGTGTACTGTACGTGTGTAGTCGATACTACCCTGCATTAAGCGTTATACAATATATAGTGTTTGCTTAATGTGGAGAGGTCAGACAAGAAAATAACACACTGGCGTGGCTAGTCAAGTATGTTCGTAGATATATCTTTACACTAAAATAGTTACACAACCTCCCTGTCCAGAAAGTAAATATACAGTGTGTCCGACTGATTTTAACAACCTGGCCAGATAGACGTACACGTGTAGGTCTATATAGTGTACTAAGTGTGCAGTCCATAATGACAAGATCACCCAGTTTTTTTCCCTTGCGCGTTTAACGGTTATGCATTAGTGTTAGTTGTATTTTTAGTGGTCAGACAAGAAAATAGCACATCGGCATGGTTAGTCGAGCATGTATTTTACACTATAAAATAGTTATACAGGTCATATGTTTTAAAAACTCCAACGATTTTGTTTCTATTTCTTTGGATACTAAATCTAAATTTGAAATTTTAAATATATGTTATTTAATGAAATTTTAAACTTTACCAGTATAAGTAAGATTTTCTGTTATTCTGTTATATAACAAGTTAATATAATTTAAAAAAAAAAAAAGAGTACCTTATTTTCTAAAGGTTTTAATTCAAGGCAAAAATACAAGCACACATATTTATTTAGACATTTTTTTTTATTGTGCATTAACGTTTATGTAAGAAACATTCCTTAATATTAATACTGATTTTATTATAGATAAATATTACTAGAATGTTAAAAGAATAAGATCGAACCGTAGGCATACAGTCGGATGATTATATCTATATAGGTCTAGTTCAACCCCGCCCTCCCCCTAAAAAAGTTTGTTATAGTTTAATTAACTTTCTTTAGTTTAGTTTAACTATCTTTTGAAATTCATGATAAACTAATAGTTTAACTACTTTATTTTAGTTAAAAACTAGTTTTAGTTTAACTTTTAAAAGTTAGTTTAGTTCCCATCACTAATTATTTTATTAGGCTCATGTAAGGGGGAATTTATGTAAATTACTTTATTATTTCATACAATAATGTGTGAATAATTAATAACATCTCTGCTGAATATTACAACACCATCTACTTTCTAACATCCCTTCATTGTATAGGCCTACTTGTATTCTGCTTTGTTTTATAAGACCATTTTTGGGGTTTTGTCATACATGACCATACCATTTGGTTTTGAGTCAGCTGTCTTCTCACTTTTATTGTCTTCCTGTATCTTCTATTCCTACCATATTTCTACTGATGAGATTTAGCAGATTAGCACTGTAGATTAATTTCAGATCTAAGATGTTTGTTTTGGTAACTCATCACTCATTCCCATTAAGATAAGATAAGATAATTTTATTGGTCCAAACAAAAAGAAATTCAGTTTGACTACAATAACAATATAGATGCAAACACGAACAACATTCATGTAGGTAATACTTTATTAGAAAGATTTGTATAATCTTGTAATATGTAGATAGAATTAAGACTATTTACTTTTGGAACTGGGGATGTGGTGGCTTTTTGGTAAAACACTTGGCTTCTGAACCAAAAGGTCTCAAGGGGGAATCTCAGTGAAGACTAGAATTTTGAATTTTAGAATTTTTAGGATACCTATGAGACTGCCAACTCAAAATTTAGTTCGGGAAAGTAAAGGAAGTTGGTCGTTGTGATACCCTCTTTAACTGTCCTACCACAGAAACAGATGACCGTTACATCATCTGCCCTGTATATTGCACTATCTGAAAATGCTATTTTACTTTTTTCTGAAAATCTTTGAAAAGTGAGAAAAGATGTCAA